GTCTGCCAGTTTTAATGTGAACAAAATCTGTGAAGTCTGCCAGTCTCAAAGTGAACCAAATCTGTGAAGTCTGCCAGTCTCAAAGTGAACCAAATCTGTGAAGTCTGCCAGTCTAAAAGTGAACCAAATCTGTGAAGTCTGCCAGTTTTAAAGTGAAAAAAATCTGTGAAGTCTGCCAGTTTTAAAGTGAACAAAATCTGTGAAGTCTGCCAGTTTTAAAGTGAACCAAATCTGTGAAGTCTGCCAGTCTCAAAGTGAACCAAATCTGTGAAGTCTGCCAGTTTTAAAGTGAACCAAATCTGTGAAGTCTGCCAGTCTCAAAGTGAACCAAATCTGCGAAGTCTGCCAGTTTTAAAGTGAACCAAATCTGTGAAGTCTGCCAGTCTTAAAGTGAATAAAATCGGTGAAATCTGCCAGTTTTAAAGGAATAAGATAATGTGAAATCTGCCAGTTTTAAAGGGAATAAGACATGTGAAATCTGCTAGTTCTAATGGGAATAAGATATGTGAAATCTGCCAGTTCTAAAGGGAATAAGATATGTGAAATCTGCCAGTTTTAAAGGGAATAAGATATGTGAAATCTGCCAGTTCTAAAGGGAAAAAGATATGTGAAATCTGCCAGTTTTAAAGGGAATAAAATATGTGAAATCTGCCAGTTTTAAAGGGAATAAGATATGTGAAATCTGCCAGTTTTAAAGGGAATAAGATATGTGAAATCTGCCAGTTTTAAAGGGAATAAGATATGTGAAATCTGCCAGTTTTAAAGGGAATAAGATATGTGAAATCTGCCAGTTTTCAAGGGAATAAGATATGTGAAATCTGCCAGTTTTAAAGGGAATAAGATATGTGAAATCTGCCAGTTTTCAAGGGGAATACATCTGCCAGTCTTAAAGTACTAAAATAATAATGAGAATTATCATAAGATGAATAGATGCAAAACTAAACCAGAAATTGAAGAAGAGCATGGTCGTTTTGTTGAAGGTAAAGGCACAAACAATGCCACATTTATCTTGGGAAAACTTTTAGAAAGAATGATTGAAATAAACAGAGATATGTATTTGAGCTTTATTGATTACACTTAAGAATTTGATAAAGTGAAACAGGAAGAAATTATTAGAATTCTGGAAATCTTATACATTGATGGTGAACATTTGAGAATAAAAAAAACACAAAAATACTGACAACAAGAAGCAGCCATTAGGATTGACAACAAAGTTAGAACTTTTCAAAACATTTAACAAGGGGACGGGGATGTAAACTATCACTTGATTTATTCAATTTGTACAGTGAAATAATAATTAGACCTAAACATGGTATACCAGGAATAGCGGCTTGTGGGCATATTGTTACCAGCCTGCGATATGCTGATGATATAGTTATAATCCCTGAAAATCTTCTTCTTCTTCTTCTTCGCGTTTACTAGCTGTACACTCTGGCGGAAAGTTCTGGTTGCTCATCCACTACTGAACTGCAGTCCTGCTCCAGAACCTGAGTGTTGCGTGTGCATCAGTTTTACAGATCTCCTTCTCTTGAATACAGACTGTTGGTTCCTTGCCTCTCCTGCAGATGCACTCCGACTTCAAAGGAAGCTCCCCAGTAAGTCGACTCTTACAACATGCTTTTGGGGAGGCAGTGGGTCTATTCTTGTTTTCCCCACAATGGGGCCCCAGAACCCACACGGGGGATCCCTGAAAATGAAATACAACTGCAAGAAATGATGGATATAATTGCAAAAGAAAGTAAAAACAAGGGTCTTAGTTTTAACAGTAGAAAAACTAATCAAACTGACTCTCTAAAATGCAACATCAAAGTAAATGGGACAAACCTCAAGCAAGTTGATATGTTTAAGTACTTGGGTACCCTAATAACATCAGATGGAAGATGTATTAAAGGGGTTAAATATCAAATAGCTCAAGCAAAGGCAGTATTTTACAATCTTTCTTTTTAATTGAGATGAGAAAGAGAATTCTTAAAAGGTATATAAATCCTATTTTGACTTATGGAAGTGAATCATGGATAGTTGGTAGATTGGTAAAAAGTTATTTGGAAGCTGCGATGTGGTTTTACAGGTGGATGATGAGAATACCCTGGACAGATAAAAAAGACATGAGGACGCCTTGAAAGCAACTGACTCACAAAGAGAACTGACTGTCCACATCAGAAAGAGACAATTTACATTTGTTGGTCATGGGATGAGGAGAAAACTGGATTACATCGTGACAGTAGGAAAGTTTAAGGGGAGGAGAGGCATAGGGAGACCTAGAGAAATGATGCTGGACTGTCTGACAACATGGCATGGAGGATCATCTGTGTCAGAGTTGACCAGAAGTACACGAGACAGAAGGCTGTAGATAGACATGTCTACCAAGGCCACACAACATGGACTTTAAGAAGTAGAAGTTTTAAAGTGATCCAAATCTGTAAAATCTGAATCTTGTACAAGATCTGTGAAGTCTGTCATAAATGTGAACATAAACAGCAACATTTAATGGTTATTTGTAGTCTGTAGAAAATACAACATCAAAAATGTTCTGAAACATATGAAAGTGTATACAATCAACAAAATAACAAGTTGCAATCAAGTTCATGTGCCAGTTCAAGTGCAAATGAAGTGAATGCTGGCATAGAATTATTGACATATACTGATTGGTTTCATAGATGCGGTGGAAAGAAATAAAAAACATAACAATCAAAAAGCTTTAGTTTCCATATCAAGAAACTAACTTGTCACCTGTAAATGATGGCAGAGCCTCGCTGCAAGATCAAGTGTACTGTGTACTCATGACCAAATGATTCCCATGTGGCTTCGGGGTTGAACTAACATATCCACTGCTTATTAACAGGCATGTCCCGAAAGGAGTTACGAATTAAAATTGTTCTGAAATGTAATGTGTTAGAAAGAAAAGCTCAGATATTACAGCTTAGCTATCATGGGGGAACACAGGAGAAGAAGACCAACTAGGCTTCCAGGGTGCAAGGGCGCAGGAAGAAGGGTGCAGGCTGCCCTAAGTGTCACCATTGTTGTTGGGGTTACAGAAGAATGCTTAGCATTTCCTTGGTGGGCAGAATGAGTAACCCAGGTGAGTGTCAGAAGACAACTTATCATAAACACCAGGAAACAATCATCTCTGGCCTGGTTAGGAGAAGAGGGAAACTGGAACCTGTAGTGAGTGACCACTGGGAAAACTTGTGGAAACAGAGACACAGAAAGATGATGTGAGAAGATTCTGAACAGCCTTTTATCATGGCCAAGGAGGGGTGTCAGCACATCAACTAATACTTGCTGTTGGAGTTTGCAGGTTGTGGAGAGGCATGATCACCCAGGCCAGTCAGCAGGACACCTGATGACGATGTATCTCACTGGATGCATTACCAGATAATTTAAATCAACAACTGATGAAAAAATGAATCAACTAAAATACACAGATTACATTTTCTGTTTCAATCACAGAAGTCTTTGATTAACCATATGATTCTCTTGTATACATGACATGAAGTAAATTAATTAGTATGCTCCTGAGATAAAGTAAAATGTATCAGCTTGTGCTCTCATTTTTTCAACAAACTGTGCAATCTATTGCACAGACATCCTACATGATCACAAAGAGCGGACTCATAACAAACAGCTTCCTGCCCCAAAAGCTAGCTAGGTTAAAGGTCACAGCGGCCTGGAGACAACAGTGATGGAGGGTATAGTTTCCAGAAAAGGATGCAAAGACAGACCTCTGTTAAAGTGGATACAAGGCACTGAAGATGCATTGGCACTAAAAGCACATAGGGCTGGTGAACTGGTTAGAGAAAGAGAGACTTTCAGGTGTGTCGTGATGAGAGCAGCAGTCTGTAAACTGACCTGCTGACTGATTTTTTGTTGGTGTCTTCTTTGTTCATATTTAATACCTCATAGCAATCACAGCACATGACATTGATAATCTTAAACAGTAGTAGAGGAAAAAAAAAATTTCTGATTTTTATCCCTTTGAAATGATCAACTTTACTGTATTGGGTTTTATCCCATAAGGTTTCGTCAATCTCCACAGAGCATCTAGGGATTGCACAAAGCACAGACTCTACAGCTCTAGAAGCAGCCACACATGGATTTCAAGAATACCCAAACTCGTTTAACCAGAGGACAGAGTCCAGAATGAATCCTAACATCTTTAGAGCATGAGGCAGATGTCTTAACACTTTCAATCCCAAAGATATGTACCATATGAGTTCAATGAATGTCTACTGGTAGGTAGGTAAGTTGTACCCTACCAGGACATCACACAAGCGATTATTACCCGGTGACACAAAGTGCCACCATGAGGATAAGGATCACCCGTATAGAGGTCCCGAAAACCCCATTCAGCCGTTATACCATATTTAAGGCCCCCCGGCAAAAGCCAGGGTAGGGGCTTCAAAATAACTTTAAAATGCATCCCCCCTTGGGGAGGTGAGTACACTGTACTAAGCAGACCTCTGCAAAGGCAGAGACAGACTTCAAACGAAGTCTGATGCAAGACACTAAAGATGCAAAGGCTATGGAAGCATTCAGGGCTGGAGAACTTGCTAGAGACAGACAGACTTTTATGAGTGCTGTGACGAGCGCAACGTTCTGTAGAGGACCTGCTGAGTGAATTATTGATTAAATCAACATTCTGTATGTTCAATATATCCTTTACGTTTGGACTGAATATTCAAAAGAAATGTGATATATTAACACGTCCCATTAGTGTTCGTTTCATCCATGAAACTAAAACATTTGAGTTCTTCTCACTCGTCTTTCTGCCTTCTTAGATATCTACTGTTGAAACTCCTGGGTCTGAACAAGTAAATGCACCCCTTCACCACATTTCTGATTAACAATAGCATTAAAAAAGACATTAAAAAAATTTCAGCCACAGCCGAAAACAATGTGCGCAGCCGAAAACAATGTGCGCAGCCAAAAACAATGTGCGCAGCCGAAAACAATGTGCGCAGCCGAAAACAATATGTGCAGCCGAAAACAATGTGTGAAGTTTAACAGGATCTGGTCTTTCTGCTGATCATTTTCTGGAAATCTTCCTCTGTCTTGAATAAATCTGTGCACAGACTAGGGTCATGTGATCGCCCCGTATGGATCTCACACAGAAGTGATGTCCGACAGTCACCGGTGCAGGGATTTAGATCTGCAGACTTTGTGTAAAATCTGTAGAAAATAATTAGTGCTTTTTCAATGCAAACATAATTATAGATTTTTTTTTTTACATTTCAATCTACATATAACTGTAAATAATATTATTTTATTAACATTTGAAACCACCCATATTGTAAAAATTATATTTTATAACATATCAAGCTTAAGTTTAAACAGTGTTTTGTAACATTTCAATCTACACTTAATTTTTAAACAATGTTTTTTCACCTTTTAATTTCTGCTTAAATGTAAACGGTTGCTATTTTAAAACGTGTTTCAATACTTAGCATCTCCGTAGTGAGTGAAGTTGAACCCCATTAGTGCCTCAGAATAAGTGATTAAGATCCTGTGACACAAAGTGTTCCTATTCAGATGAAAATCCTCCAGGGACAAGTCCAAGAAACCTGTTCAACCGCACAGTTACACAGCCCCCCCCCCCTCCCAAACAGTTACACTAGGGCACTCTGGCAGTTACACTGGGGCCCGCCAACGGTTACACTAGGGAACTCTGATGGTTACACTGGGGCCCCCCAATGGTTACACTAGGGCACTCTGACGGTTACACTAGGGCACTCTGGCGGTTACACTGGGGCCCGCCAACGGTTACACTAGGGAACTCTGACGGTTACACTGGGGCACCCAATGGTTACACTAGGGAACTCTGACCGTTACACTGGGGCACCCAATGGTTACACTAGGGAACTCTGACGGTTACACTAGGGAACTCTGATGGTTACACTAGGGAACTCTGACGGTTACACTGGGGCCCGCCAACGGTTACACTAGGGAACTCTGACGGTTACACTGGGGCACCCAATGGTTACACTAGGGAACTCTGACCGTTACACTGGGGCCCCCTGATGGTTACTCTAGGGCACTCTGATGGTTACACTGGGGCCCCCCAATGGTTACACTGACAGGATAGGGTTATACCCACAGAACTGTGTTCATCCTTAAAAAAGTGTCTGACACCAATCTTCTGAAGGAAGGAAAGGTGGCAGGTCCAGGTGGTATCCAAGCAGAAGTTATCAAGGCTAATATAAATATATCAACATAATTACTACATAGATTATTTAGTAAAGTCTGGGAGACTGAAGAAATAAAAGCAGACTAGTGAGAAGGATATCTTGTGAAACTGCCTAAAAAAAAAAAGTGATCTAAAGGAGTCTGAAAACTATGGAAGAATTATGATGCTGTCAGTTCCTGGAGCAATATTACATAAGATTATTTTGGAAAGACTAAAAGACACAGCTGATAAAAAGCTACGAGATTAACAATCAGGTTTTCGGCCAAACCGATAATGTACTGACCGATAGCCACATTACGTATAACAAGAGAGCAAAGCATTGAACTGAACTCATCACTTTACATTGGATTCATGGACTATGAAAAAGCATTTGACAGCATTGATAGGGAATCTCTCTGGAAATTGATGGGGCACTATGGAATCCCACAGAAAATTATGAACTTAGTAAAGGCAGGATGCCATTAATAGGTGAATTGGTCAATATCAAGCTGGCTGCTTTTGCTTCCCAGGACCTTGCCTGGTACCCATTTAAGGCTGGGTTGACCTGGGAGCCAAAGTCATTTTTGAAAGGAAAAAAAAACCTGGTTTTATCCGGACCGAAACCCACAACCTTCAGATCCCCAGACGAGTGTCTAGCCACTACACCATGGTGACTCGCAAGAGTTAAAAATAAAAGAAATAAAAAAAAAAAACATTGTTTACAATAAGATCAGCATGGAACTTACCTATAAAACTGTTGAAAAACTGTGTCATTCTTCTTCATGATGTTTATCAGGTTATCCCAGTCTCTGGGGTACAGACTGGGTAAATTAAAAGCAGCCTGGAAAATATAAAATAGTCATACATACAAGAGAATCAAAGTAGTTTCAAGAGTAATTTATAGAGCAAGCTTGATATTTTAACAATGATTTATGTAGCAGATTTAACATCTGAACAAGATTATTATGGCTTTGAGAGAATGAGGCCCTTGGGTGTAACCGTAGGGTCTGGCCGGCTCAGTATACTCAGAAGAAAGGCAAGATGGAATATAACCAGATTGTGACCAGTACCATTAGTATTGGAACTCTGTGCTGGCTGCTGATGATAGGAATGGAGCACATATGGGAATGACCCAAGTGCTGTTGTAATGATGTTATAAATAGGGATAATGTCAGGGGATGATTGGCATAATTGGGGAAGACCCTGAGAGCATGTGTTTCACGGAGATATGGTGAAACGACAGGAAAGAAAGAGTCACGTGTGAATGGGGAGATCTGGGGGATTGAGAATCAGGCGGTCATTCGGTGACTGGGCCCCAGAGAGAAAGGATGGGAAATGAAGCTGTGAAGATGAATGGAGAATGACCAGAGCATGTGGATCTGAGTCGGCGAGGAATGAATGATCGAGAAGGCCAGCTGTGATGGTACCTTGTTTGATTGTTAAAGCCAGCCGTGAATATGTCAACGTCTATTGTCCGAATGCTGTAAGTGGATTCTCCTGTGATTCGTGTATTGTGCTACTGTGATATTAAACTCGTGAAATGTGCCGCTGGTGTCAACCGTTGTTAGAAGTTGTGTGACCGTGAAGAAGATCATGTCTGCTTTGATTGAGTTGTGAACCTCTAGACATCAGAGCCAGTGTTAACTCTGCACCACAGATAGCCAGTGTGGAGGAGACACAAAAGGGCAGTCATTACAGCTGTGGTGTAAATTCTCGACTCAACTCAGCTCATCTAAACAGTAATTTACTGCGCCTCAGTGGTTTAGAGGCTAGCAAATGTAGTTAACAATTTCAAAATCATTTGCTTGACTCTGGACATGTAGTTGATAAAGACTGTGCTTTCAGGATTATTTGCTACACATGAAACAGACGTTTGCTAAAAGTGGTCGAGGCTGTATCAAAAAAACTCTACTCTCTTATGTTGTGTAAACAGAAAGATCAAGTGACTGATTTGAAGTTACCATGTTAATCATGTGACTGATTTTGAATTAAATTATAAAAAATTATAGCAGAAGGCATGGTACCAGCAAGGAGGGGGCAGAGGCCGACCGACACGAAGATGGGCACAGGATATAAGTGACTCCTTGAGTGTGAAAGTTCATGAGGCGGGAGAACTGGCAAGAGACTGAGTTTCTTACAGGCAGACTGTGATGAGAGCGACGTTCTGCAAAGGACCTGCTACATGATGATGATGATGATTTTGAATTTGCTGCGGACAGACGTACAGCAACTTGAAAATGTGGTTTGTGCACTTCAGGAAGAAAAGGATTCATTTTGTGCTTCGTTATATGTTGATCTAACTCTGTAGTAATGCACCTGTCGAGATACAGGAAAATATGCCAGGCAACAAATTGTGCAGTGTATTGTTTGTGTCCGCATTATTGAAATTTACAACCGGAAAACACTGTTTTTAATTTCACAAAGCTCAAGAGCTGTGGTTCGCTCCCTGCAGTAGGTGGGAGAAAATATGCTCTCATGGTTTTCTGACAGCGGTATGAGAGTTGCACTGTGGAAGATAGTGGAACCTCATCACATCACATTCCCAAAGACAGCTATGGCACACTAGCCAACCTTCATGGAAATCACACAGAACTTAGAATGAAAAAAAATTAAGAAATTACAATTTGATACTGAAACAGTAATTATACCGTGCTGATGTTACTTTTTCTTTGGAGTAAACAATGCAGGTCGAGAGAGGAATCATGATGCAGGGGTAACATGTGGTCTCTACAATACTGCTCAGGCTTTGTGCTATGGAGAGGACAAACTTAATCCCTGGCTGTAATTGGTCTCGGAAACAAATCAAGACATGTTACTGCAGAAAGAATGAGCTGAGAGTCTGAGAAGAAACAGGCTAAACACAAATGTTGACAACAACGGTCCTGAAATCCCATGATTTAATCCTAGAATACTTTTCCTAACGCTGGGAAGGGGGGTGTCTTGCTAGTCACACTTGCCATCTTTATGGGTTGTGAGTCCCATGCCTCTTCATAGCGCAATATAACACTATCGTCTGGTTTGACGGAAAGGTGCCAATCAATTATACTGTTAATTAATATAACTAGAATGTTCTGATTTTGGAACCCACAGGACCAAAGAAATAAAGGCAAAGCAAAAGGAGAATGGAATTAGAGAGTGAAGTGAAAAGATGAGGACAACATGGGGGTCAGCTGTATTTGACCACACACAAAAAGACAGGAGTCAGCCTGTAGAAGGATCATGCTCCCCTGGGGGTAAAGGGCAGAAAAAGGTAAATAAAAATACGATACTGTAAACTGAATAATTTCATGACAGTACATGCAGTATACTCTTGCCTGTATGACTCTTGCCTGTGTGAATCTTGCCTGTGTGACTCTTGCCTGTGTGATTCTTGCCTGTGTGACTCTTGCCTGTGTGACTCTTGCCTGTGTGATTCTTGCCTGAGTGACCCTTGCCTGTGTGACCCTTGCCTGTGTGACCCTTGCCTGTGTGACCCTTGCCTGTGTGACTCTTGCCTGCGTGTCTCTTGCCTGCGTGACTCTTGCCTGTGTGACTCTTGCCTGTGTGACTCTTGCCTGTGTGACTCTTGCCTGTGTGACTCTTGCCTGTGTGTCTCTTGCCTGTGTGTCTCTTGCCTGTGTGTCTCTTGCCTGTGTGACTCTTGCCTGTGTGACTCTTGCCTGTGTGACTCTTGCCTGTGTGACTCTTGCCTGTGTGACTCTTGCCTGTGTGACTCTTGCCTGTGTGTCTCTTGCCTGTGTGTCTCTTGCCTGTGTGTCTCTTGCCTGTGTGACTCTTGCCTGTGTGACTCTTGCCTGTGTGACTCTTGACGGTGTAACTCTTGATGGTGTAACTCTTGCCTGTGTGTCTCTTGCCTGTGTGTCTCTTGCCTGTGTGTCTCTTGCCTGTGTGTCTCTTGCCTGTGTGACTCTTGCCTGTGTGACTCTTGCCTGTGTGACTCTTGACTGTGTGACTCTTGACGGTGTGACTCTTGCCTGTGTGACTCTTGCCTCTGTGACCCTTGACTGTGTGTCTCTTGCCTGTGTGACTCTTGCCTGTGTGACTTTTGCCTGTGTGACCCTTGCCTGTGTGACTCTTGCCTCTGTGACCCTTGACGGTGTAACTCTTGCCTGTGTTATTCTTGCCTGTGGGATTCTTGCGTGTGTGACTCTTGCCTGTGTGACTCTTGACGGTGTAACTCTTGCCTGTTATACTCTTGCCTGTGTTATTCTTGCCTGTGGGATTCTTGCGTGTGTGACTCTTGCCTGTTATCCTCTTGCCTGTGTGTCTCTTGCCTGTGTGACTCTTGCTTGTGTGATTCTTGCATGTGTGACTCATGCATGAGTCACTCATGCAAGAGTTACACATGCAAGAGTCACACACGCATGAGTGACTCTTGCATGTGTGACTCTTGCATGTGTCACTCTTGCATGTGTGAATCTTGTGTGTGTGACCCTTGACTGTGTAACTCTTGCACGAGTGACTCTTGCATGTGTGACTCTTGCACATACATTTGGAGCCTTGCCTCTCCATGTGGGTTCCAGGGATTCATTTTGGAGGGCAAAGAATAGATCCACTGCCACCTAACAAGCATGTTGACCAATAGAAGTGTTTCCTTCAAAATTGGAGTGCCTCTGCCTGAGAGGCAAGGAACTAACAGTCTGCAAACAAATAAGCCAGATCTGTAAAACAGATGTGCATGCAAAACTCAAGTTCTGGATCAAGACCACAGTCCTGAAGTGGATGAACACCCAGAACTTTCCATTGGAGTTTACAGCTGGTGAACACAAAGAGGAATCCTTGCCAGTACTGCAGAGTTCATGCACAGAGCTAAGATTTCCCACATGTGATCTACAATAACAGTAATGCTCAAATTACAAAACAAAACCTAAAGACCAGCCAGTGGACTTACCTTAGCAGAGTACTCAAACTCCCATGTGATGTTACCCTCTATGTGTGCCTTGGTTAGGTTCATGTAGTGAGTTTCATGATCCAAGACTTGCTGTCATGAAAATAACACAAATTAACAAAGACACCACTATCACAACTACTGTCTATCATCACTGCTGTATATCACCACTACTGTCTATCACCACTGCTGTCTATCACCACTGCTGTCTATCACCACTGCTGTCTATCGCCACTGCCATATATCACCACTGCCGTATATCACCACTACTGTCTATCACCACTACTGTCTATCGCCACTGCTGTCTATCAACACTGCTGTCTATCATCACTGCTGTCTATCACCACTACTGTCTATCATCACTGCTGTCTATCACCACTGCCATATATCACCACTGCCATATATCACCACTGCTGTATATCACCACTGCTGTCTATCGCCACTGTTGTCTATCATCACTGCTGTCTATCACCACTGCTGTCTATCGCCACTGCTGTCTATCACCACTGCTGTCTATCACCACTGCTGTCTATCACCACTGCTGTCTATCACCACTGCTGTCTATCGCCACTGCTGTCTATCAACACTTTTGTCTATCACCACTACTGTCTATCACCACTACTGTCTATAACCACTGCTGTCTATCACCACTGCCATATATTACCACTGCCATATATCACAACTGCTGTATATCACCACTGCTGTCTATCGCCACTGCTGTCTATCACCACTGCTGTCTATCACCACTGCCATATATCACCACTGCTATATATCATCACTGCTGTCTATCACCACTGCTGTCTATCATCACTGCTGTCTATCATCACTGCTGTATATCACCACTGATGTCTATCACCACTGCTGTATATCACCACTGCTGTATATCACCACTGCTGTATATCATCACTGATGTCTATCACCACTGCTGTCTATGGCCACTGCTGTCTATCTATCACCACTGCTGTCTATCGCCACTGCTGTCTATCACCACTGCTGTAAATCGCCACTGCTGTCTATCTATCACCACTGCTGTCTTTCGCCATTGCTGCCTATCTCCACTGATGCCTATCGCCACTGCTGCCTATCACAACTGCTGTCTATCTATCATCACTGCTGTCTATCACCACTACTGTCTATCACCACTGCTGTCTATCACCACTGCTGTCTATCTATCACCACTGCTGTCTATCTATCACCACTGCTGTATATCTATCACCACTGCTGTCTATTTATCACCACTGCTATCACCACTGCTGTAAATCACCACTGCTGTCTATCACCACTGCTGTCTATCACCACTGCTATGGCCACTGCTGTCTATCACCACTGCTGTCTATCACTGCTGTCTATCACCACTGCTGTCTATCACTGCTGTCTATCATCACTGCTGTCTATCACCACTGCTGTCTATCACCACTGCTGTCTATCATCACTGCTGTCTATCACTGCTGTCTATCATCACTGCTGTCTATCATCACTGCTGTCTATCATCACTGCTGTCTATCATCACTGCTGTCTATCATCACTGCTGTCTATCACCACTGCTGTCTATCACCCCTGCTGTCTATCATCACTGCTGTCTATCACCACTACTGTCTATCACCACTGCTGTCTATCACCACTGCTGTCTATCACAACTGCCATATATCACCACTGCCATATATCACCACTGCTGTATATAACCACTGCTGTCTATCGCCACTGCTGTCTATCTATCACCACTGCTGTCTATTGCCACTGCTGTCTATCACCACTGCTGTAAATCGCCACTGCTGTCTATCTATCACCACTGCTGTCTATCGCCACTGCTGTCTATCGTCACTGCTGCCTATCACCACTGCTGTATATCTATCACCACTAATGTCTATCACCACTGCTGTCTATCACCACTGCTGTCTATCACCACTGCTGTCTATCACCACTGCTGTCTATCTATCACCACCGCTGTCTGTCTATCACCACTGCTCTCTATCTATCACCACTGCTCTCTATCTATCACCACTGCTATCTATCTATCACCACTGCTGTCTATCTATCACCACTGCTGTCTATCTATCACCACTGCTGTAAATCACCACTGCTGTCTATCACCACTGCTGTAAATCACCACTACTGTATATCACCACTTCTGTATATCACCACTGCTGTATATCAACAACTCTCTGCTGATGACCAGGCCTTGACAGCAGATACAACCATAACATTGCAACAGCATCTAACATCTACAATATTAGTAATATGAGTATCAACACTAAAAAGACAGACGTAATGTCAACAGGAAGGAAGAAGCATAAACTAAAAAAGCAGTAGAGTGCAAAGGCGTTAAACAAGCATATGGGTACACCTTACACTGAAGATAGTAATGCTGAATGTTGAATTCAGAATCGACATCACAGCACTCTCGACAACCCCCACAAGTGAAGATGGGAAAATGCATGAGGAAATTAACATCAAAAGCAGTCAAGCAAACCAAGCACTGGAGTGGGTGGGGGTGGGGGGCTCTTACACCCTTTTACAGCATAAGACAATCCTAGTCAGCACAAAGAAACATTTCTTACAAAGCATATTCATTCTCACTCTATGCTACAAATGCCAGACATGGTCACTCACAATAAACCATAAAAGAAATGAGGATCACAGAAATGAGATGTCTAAGAAAGGCTGCAGGAGTGACCAGGAGAGATGAAGTGTGGTTTTTTGCCTGGCGCAGAAATGCAGCAACCATGGCGTGACCCGTTTGACATAAAGTTGGAACTGACTGACTGACTTTTACCTCCCTAGGACCACAAAACGAGCGACAAACACCTGGTGACCAAAACTGCCACCATCTGGATGAGAATCGCCCAGGCTCAAGTATCAGAAAGCCTCTTCAACCTGCAGGTTATATTTAGGGCCCCTGACGATAGCTGGGGTGGAGTTTTAAAGTGAAAAACCATTGTGTCCCATGTTGGGGGGGGGGGGGGAAGAAGGAGCGAGTTTATGAAGCTGGAACTGGAACTAGCCCCTAAAATCAGTGACTTTTTATGGGCGCAGAATATATGTCATTCATAAAAATGGTTAATTATTTAAATGGATACAGAACATATGTCATACATGATGACTCTGAATGATTTTATATGGTCATATAACATAACATAATAGGAAATAATTAGGAACATAACATAATAAGAAATAATTACTTTATATCGACACAGAACATTTAACAGACATAAGACATAAGAACTCATTACTTTGTATGGACACAGAACATATATCATATTTAAGAACTCATTACTTTATATGGTCTCAGAACATATACTATACATAAGAACTCATTACTTTATATGGACACAGAACAAATAACATACTTAAGAACTCATTAGGTTATACAGTAACAGAACAACTTTATACAGTAACAGAACACATAACATACATATGAACTCATTAGGTTATACAGTAACAGAACAACTTTATACAGTAACAGAACACATAACATACATATGAACTCATTAGGTTATACAGTAACAGAACAACTTTATACAGTAACAGAACACATAACATACATATGAACTCATTAGGTTATACAGTAACAGAACAACTTTATACAGTAACAGAACAACTTTATACAGTAACAGAACAACTTTATACAGTAACAGAACAACTTTATACAGTAACAGAACAACTTTATACAGTAACAGAACAACTTTATACAGTAACAGAACAACTTTATACAGTAACAGAACAACTTTATACAGTAACAGAACAACTTTATACAGTAACAGAACACATAACATACATATGAACTCTTGTTATATACTCCATCCACAGTGTAGAATCGGAAGCCCATGTTATAATGAGAGAACGGGGTCACGCTGGGACCAATATAAGCCACACCCACAGGGGTCTGAAGTGTCTCGATGTCATAGAACACCTCAAACTCATCTTTGTGGGTATGTCCAAAGAATTGACCAGCGATTGTGTTTTGGTATCTGGAGGAGACAAGACAATATCAATACAACTTTGGGAGAGGAATCTCATTTACTGCGGTACAGATTCAAGATTATACACATATTTGTATAGGATAACTGACATTCTGTTGTAGTCATCAAGCTGACTACTTTCCTGGGCATTTCTTGGTATCTATGCTAGGCAAGGTTGCAGTGGTAGCTGATTTGGCGAAGGACCAAAATTTTTTATTTAAAGCTGTGGTGCCTTATTATTATCCTACCCCAGATGATGTCACGGGACCATCCAATATCTTAGAGGGTGGCAAGACTAGGTTTCCTGGCTTTCTGATGCCTTTAACGACCCAAAAACATCTAGAACTGGCCCTAATCCCAACTCACCTACGTCCCACCAGAGAGTGCAGACTAGGTCCCATGACTGCACGCAGCCTATCTTCCACATCCTGAAATATTATACTGTCCTGTGACCTGTTGATTTCCCTTGTTTGGGGTAGAATATTAATAAAGCACCAAACCTGTTTCTGGTGCCCTCTCGCTTGCTTTATACATCCAGTTTTAACATATGGCTGTGAGTCCTGGACAATCGGTAGGCAGGCCAAACAATTTCTTGAGGCCTCATAGATGTGGTTAAACAGAAGAATGCTTAAAGTACCTTGGATAGCCGAAGAGAAACCAAGAGGTTTTAAAAGAGGTGGGAGTATGAAGACAACTTATCACAGACATCAGAAGGAGACAGTCATATTTTTTCGGTCATGTTATTAGAAGAGGGAAAATGGGACTTGTTATGACCACTGGAAAGATCTGTGGAAGAAGGGACAGAAGAAGACAACGAGAGAAGATTCTTGACAGTCTTGTTGCATGGCACGGAGGTGTGACAGCACATAAACTGATACATGCTGCAGGAGATCGCAGATTATGGAGAGGCATGATCGCCTAAGAAAGTCGGCAAGGCACCTGATGATGATGATGATTGGTGCCTTTAACTTGGTAACAAAACTATATCCTTTCAGTCTACAAATGGATTAAAACGAAACAGCGAACTATTGTCAGAAGCAAAAACTTGTCATGACTAATAACAATAAACCTGCCTGTCCACCAGACTTACCAAAAGCTCCCCTAAAGGCTAAAGAAATATCTTCTTCTTCAGCATTCTAAGCCCTTGAGGTTCATTGTTGCAGATATCCCAAGCCTAAATTCATCTATCTGGCTGGTCGTCTCTTTTCGGTTGATGACACCAAGCTTTTGTAGGTCTGCCTAAACATTATCTCTCCATCGTCTTCTTGGTCTGCCTCGTGGTCTACGACCATTCATCTCCCGTGTGTATACAGTTTTTAACCTCTCTGTCATCTGAGATTCTCTCAATATGCCCCAGCCATTTCAGTCTATTAGCTCTTATGATTCTAGTGATCTAAAGTAATTTAAACAAACTATGCATTTCATTGTTGCTTCCTACTCTCCAAACCCTGCTGTCTTAATCTTTGATGGGTCGAAAGATTCTTCACAAGACTCCGTTTAAAAAATGTTCAACAAGGCTCCAAGTTTCACAGCCATATAGAACAGCTGGTCTTATCAACGTTTCCTATATTTTGATCTTAGTGTTGCGAGACAGAGGAAAAGAAGAAATATATTAAATTGAAAGCAAAGGACCCTTTTTACACTAGCAGTTCATCAGACAAACACCGTAAGGCCCGCATTGTTTAAAGACCAATCAGCACTTGATGTGTGATGTATTCATCATCGTGCTGGCCACCTTTACTTCCCATGACATTTCCTGGTTCCCATTTTAGGTGCTGTGACTTTAAAGCATTGGATCAATTATTAAATTGACCTCCATGTGAAATCAAGCAAGCAGCCACTGTGCTACCCTAAATTGGCCTCCATGTGAAATCAAGCAAGCAGCCACTGTGCTTTCATAAATTGGCCTCCATGTGAAAACAAGCAAGCAGCCACTGTGCTTTCATAAATTGGCCCCCATGTGAAAACAAGCAAGCAGCCACTGTGCTTTCATAAATTGGCCCCCATGTGAAAACAAGCAAGCAGAAACTGTGCTACCATAAATTGGCCTCCATGTGAAAACAAGCAAGCAGCCACTGTGCTTTCATAAATTGGCACCAATGTGAAAACAAGCAAGCAGAAACTGTGCTACCATAAATTGGCCTACATGTGAAAACAAGCAAGCAGCCACTGTGCTATCATAAATTGGCCTCCATGTGAAAACAAGCAAGCAGAAACTGTGCTACCATAAATCCCTAACAGAAATAATAGACAGCAGAGGATGACAGGACTTTGCATGGGATTGCTGAGGTCCTATGCTCCATTGGAATCTTGTAATAGTTCTAGCACCATTCATGGATAAAAGGTTGAAGAATAACTAAAATAATCACCTTTTAACAATCTTGTAACAGTTCTAGCTCCAGTGACAGATAAAAGGTTGAAGAATAACTAAAATAATCACATTTTAACAATCTTGTAACAGTTCCATATCCACTGGAAGATTAAAGGTTGACAAATAACTAAAATAATCACCTTTTAACAATATTGTAATAGTTCCAGGTCCATTGGAAGGTTAAAGGTTGAAGAATAACTATAAAATAAAATCACCTGTTCACAATCTTGTAATAGTTCCAGCTCCATGCCTTTAGACAATCATTTTGTCCAGGAGGGATGTGACCCAGGATGTGAACCTACAAATTAGTCAGTAAACAACTAATTGTAGCCACGTGTCTCAAACATAAAATTTTTATGTCATTAATAATATATTCTGCACATAAATAAGAAGACGATAATTCATACCAATATTTCAAGACTCGCACATAGGTAGAGCGGTATACAGCCATTTTCGTGCCCTTGCTTTTCTTTTTTTCTGAGAAACCCCTGGGTTATGGCCTGGAAAGGTCTCCTAGCTGCTGCTTTTCAAGTAGCCAACTCTGACTTGATGCTTCCATTCTGGTCTATTTCGATTCCAATGTATCTAAACTGGTTAACCTGCTTCAGTGCATTTTGTCTCACCATGATTTGATGTTTCTTCTCCTCTCTTGAGATCACCATGGTTTTCGTTTTGGAGATACAGATGGTCATCCCTCTCTTCTCAAGCTCTTCCATCCAGACAAGGAAGTTGGATTGAAGATGTGCCTCTGATTTAGCTATCAGGGCCACATCATCTGCAAATGCCAGCTCTGATTTACAGGTTGGTCTCATATTGCACTACCCTACTGAGTATGTCTTTGTCTTCTCCTTACAGGTTTCGAAGACATCATTCATCAGAAGGATGAAGAGGTAAAGTGAGAGAATATCACCCTGTCTAACACCGCTAGTGGTCTTAAATTATTCCCACTTGGTTTCCTGTTCTTATACAATTTCTGCAGCTTTTGTAGAAACTGTTTTGCACTGATCAGGAGTGCTGGAATGTTCTTCCCTGCCAAGCAGTCCCAGAGTTTGATCCAGGGAACCTTATCGAATTCCGTTTCTAGATCCAGGAAATATAAGTGCACCACATTCTTATATTCTGTAACATTTTCACTCATCTATCTGAGTGTGAAGATAAGGTCTTGAGTACTTCGCTTTGCCCTGAAACTGCGTTGGGCCTGATCCTGCTGTGGTTCCGCCAGAGATCCGAGTTCAGGGAGTTTAAATCTAAATGTATCCACTATTATTTAAAAAAAAACCAAAGAAAAAAAAACACCTGACCAGATATTACTACACACACACAAATTAAGAAACAATCCCACATGACATGTTGGTTGAGACAGAGGAGAAACAATCACACATGACATGTTGGTTGAGACAGAGGAGAAACAATCACACATGACATGTTGGTTGAGACAGAGGAGAAACAATCACACATGACATGTTGGTTGAGACAGAGGAGAAACAATCACACATGACATGTTGGTTGAGACAGAGGAGAAACAATCACACATGACATGTTGGTTGAGACAGAGGAGAAACAATCACACATGACATGTTGGTTGAGACAGAGGAGAAACAATCACACATGACATGTTGGTTGAGACAGAGGGGAAACAATCACACATGACATGTTGGTTGAGACAGAGGAGAAATAATCACACATGACATGTTGGTTGAGACAGAGGGGAAACAATCACACATGACATGTTGGTTGAGACAGAGGGGAAACAATCACACATGACATGTTGGTTGAGACAGAGGAGAAATAATCACACATGACATGTTGTTTAAGACAGAAGGGAAACAATCACACATGACATGTTGGTTGAGTCAGAGGGGAAACAATCACACATGACATGTTGGTTGAGACAGAAGGGAAACAATCACACATGACATGTTGGTTGAGACAGAGGGGAAACAATCACACATGACATGTTGGTTGAGACAGAGAGGAAACAATCACACATGACATGTTGGTTGAGACAGAGGGGAAACAATCACACATGACATGTTGGTTGAAACAGAGGGGAAATAATCACACATGACATGTTGGTTGAGACAGAGGGGAAACAATCACACATGACATGTTGGTTGAGACAGAGGAGAAACAATCACACATGACATGTTGGTTGAGACAGAGAGGAAACAATCACACATGACATGTTGGTTGAGACAGAGGGGAAACAATCACACATGACATGTTGGTTGAGACAGAGGGGAAACAATCACACATGACATGTTGGTTGAGACAGAGGGGAAATAATCACACATGACATGTTGGTTGAGACAGAGGGGAAACGATCACACATGACATGTTGGTTGAGACAGAGGGGAAACAATCACACATGACATGTTGGTTGAGACAGAGAGGAAACAATCACACATGACATGTTGGTTGAGACAGAGAGGAAACAATCACACATGACATGTTGGTTGAGACAGAGGGGAAACAATCACACATGACATGTTGGTTGAGACAGAGAGGAAACAATCACACATGACATGTTGGTTGAGACAGAGAGGAAACAATCACACATGACATGTTGGTTGAGACAGAGGGGAAATAATCACACATGACATGTTGGTTGAGACAGAGGGGAAACAATCACACATGACATGTTGGTTGAGACAGAGGAGAAACAATCACACATGACATGTTGGTTGAGACAGAGAGGAAACAATCACACATGACATGTTGGTTGAGACAGAGGGGAAACAATCACACATGACACGTTGGTTGAGACAGAGGGGAAACAATCACACATGACATGTTGGTTGAGACAGAGGGGAAACAATCACACATGACATGTTGGTTGAGACAGAGGGGAAACAATCACACATGACATGTTGGTTGAGACAGAGGGGAAACAATCACACATGACATGTTGGTTGAGACAGAGAATAAACAATCACACATGACATGTTGGTTGAGACAGAGAGGAAACAATCACACATGACATGTTGGTTGAGACAGAGAGGAAACAATCACACATGACATGTTGGTTGAGACAGAGGGGAAACAATCACACATGACATGTTGGTTGAGACAGAGGGGAAACAATCACACATGACATGTTGGTTGAGACAGAGAGGAAATAATCACACATGACATGTTGGTTGAGACAGAGGGGAAATAATCACACATGACATGTTGGTTGAGACAGAGGGGAAATAATCACACATGACATGTTGGTTGAGACAGAGGGGAAACAATCACACATGACATGTTGGTTGAGACAGAGAGGAAACAATCACACATGACATGTTGGTTGAGACAGAGAGGAAACAATCACACATGACATGTTGGTTGAGACAGAGAGGAAACAATCACACATGACATGTTGGTTGAGACAGAGGGGAAACAATCACACATGACACGTTGGTTGAGACAAAGGGGAAACAATCACACATGACATGTTGGTTGAGACAGAGGGGAAACAATCACACATGACATGTTGGTTGAGACAGAGAGGAAACAATCACACATGACATGTTGGTTGAGACAGAGAGGAAACAATCACACATGACATGTTGGTTGAGACAGAGAGGAAACAATCACACATGACATGTTGGTTGAGACAGAGGGGAAACAATCACACATGACATGTTGGTTGAGACAGAGGGGAAACAATCACACATGACATGTTGGTTGAGACGGAGGTGAAATAATCAAAACCAAATATGGCTGATGATAACTTTTTCTCCGATATTTTCTGAATTCTGTAATGTTGTTATCAGCCACTGAAGCTGCCCTGTTGGGTCTGTGGTGTTGAGCAGCATCCACCTGGGTGAATAGACAACAGATCCATGAGTCTCGGGGACATGAGCACAAACATGTACAAAAGATCTATGAGTCTCAGGGGCATAAATATAAACATGTACAACAGAATCATGAGTCTCAGGGGCATGAACATATTTATGTACAACAGATCCATGAGTCTCAGGGGCATAAACATAAACATGTACAACAGATCCATGAGTGTCAGGGGCATATACATAAACAGATAAACATGCCTGCATTCTTATACTCATACATAAATCATTACATGTATACAGATTAAGGTATGACATCTTGATGACTGCACTGAAGGAGGTCAGTTCATGGTTGGTGAATTGGGTTACTGCTGCCCTGTATTCATGTCCGGTTGCTCTCCGACTGGGCTTATTCACATCAGAACCATGTAGTTTGGCCCCAGGACTGCCACATGGATCCGCCATCTTGCCTGTGCTCTTCAAGGTGTATACGAGCAAGACTGCAAGCCTAGAAGCACCAGGAGTTGGAAGGATATTGACTTTTGGGGATGAAATACTTGCATATAGGCAGGGGGAAGAGAGGGAACAAACAGCCAGGGAGCTACAAGTGACAGTAGACAAAGTGACTGAGTGGTGTACAGAAATGAGGGCTGTCGTCCACCCAGAATAGGCATCTGTTTTGTGATATTCTCTAGACAACAGGATCGTTAAAACTAATGTCCCAAGTCTCACGATAGATGGTAGAAACATCAACAGAGAGAGCAAACGGAAGTATCTGTGAATTACATTTGACAGGAGCTTGTTCTTTAAGGACCATGTGGAGAGTGTTGTGACGAGATGCCAAAAAGGACTTGGTGCATTTAAGACTATGGCTGCTTTTGACATAAAGCAGAGAATGCTTTTCACACTATATCAGCACCTGATCCTGTCAGTGGTTGATTATGGCCTGGGACTGCTTACCATCTCAAAGAGTCAGATGGACAAACTAGAGCGCATACAGAACGCAGCTATGTGGGTCATTCTGGGTTGCACCAGAGACACCCCAGTGGTGTGTATGCGATACATCCTTGGTTTGCCGAATGTTGCAAGTAGGCACAAGGTGCTGCAGGCAAAGTCAAATCTCAGGGTAGTTGGAGACACAGACCACCCTTTGCACGAAGCTCTGGGCGCAGTTAAGGGTCAGTGGCTGATAAGAGGGAAGTCAAGGATGGCTCAGGCAAAAGACACAATCAGACAGGTTTGCATCCTTGAGAACATTAGGCGAGGAGAGGAGTGGGTCAAAGTGCCACTTGAACAGTCAGACTTGTGTAGGGTCATAATCACACTGAACCGGGAATGCAGAGACTGGCAAGCAGGTGCCACGGAGGTGGAAATTCAGCAATAAATTCAAGATAATGCTCGCTCAGAGGATTTGATCATTTACACAGACAGGTCAGTGTCAAGAGGCAAAAAAAGTGCTTGGGGTTTCTTAGCAAAAGTTAAAGGTCGATGTTTGGTGCAGGAGAGCCTAGCATATGACACGACAACATCCAGCTTAAGAATGGAGGTGGAGGCGGTCACTGCAGCTTTCCGCTGGTTAGAGAACACCACACACACACACATCATGACTGTAACTGACTCAGAAAGCATGCTGAGGAAGATCAGGACAGGCATGCTTCGTGCAGTGGCATGCTTCACTGCGGAGGACACGGGTGAGGAGTATTGTCTGGATTTTTTTACCGGAGACGCCGGTGTGTTGGGAAATGAACAGGCCAACAGACTGGCTGGCTCTCCACAACTTGGTGGAATACTGATGCATGATAAGGCAGACGTGGTGAGCGTGTACAGTTCGAAGGAGCAGATAAATCACAACAGTCTGGTGAGATTGATGCAGTTGGGGGCGACGAGAGGTTCTGACAGATGTTCGAGGCTCAGAGGAAAGGTAAGACGGACATTTAATCAGAATGCTACTGACACCATTAGTATTGGAACTTTTTGCTGGCTGCTGAAGATGGGAATGGAGCACTTATGGGAATGCCTCGAGTGCTGTGATGTCGGTTCTTGAATCAAATCAAATCAAATACATGCATACTTGAGCAAAGGTTCATAAATACATGAAACTGTTGGATGAATGGAGATGAATAAATGGACGGAGGGATGGACTGACCGACAGGCACACATACATAAGTATGGACAGACAGACATACATACATACATACATACATACATACAGACAGATAAAGTGCTTTTTTGGGGGACATACTTTTATCATAAAGATAACATTCTCACCAATTCTGATTGTTGCAGTAATTCATGTTAAGGGATATAATTCTGAATCCCGGATATGGAGTGACTGTATAGTAAGCTCCCCTGCAAATATAAAACCAAAAACATTATTAGACCCATTTATGTAAAAGGTAGGCTAGATACTCGACCGCAGGCCCGAAGGTTGTGGGTTCGAATCCGTACTGTCGGAGGTTTTTAAAATTTTTTTAAACATGACCTAAGCACCAGGTCGACCAAAGTGGAACTCTGAATATGATTAAGAAGACCTGGTAGGAGAGTGAACACTATCCTGACATCCCCAGAGCTACAAACAGTGCCCATATCCAAGTTTACTCAGGTCAGTCTAAAACTAACTGCCTGTAAACTCCAGCAGAACGTTGCGGTTGTTTATTCATAGAGTTAACCAGCTCTAAGCTCTGGCAGAAAGTTAGAGTTCATTTATCCATAGTGTTAACTTGCTGTAAGCTCTGGCAGAAAGTTAGAGTTCATTTATCCATAGTGTTAACTTGCTGTAAGCTCTGGCAGAAAGTTAGAGTTCATTTATCTATAGTGTTCACTTTCTGTAAGCTCTGGCAGAAAGTTAGAGTTCATTTATCTATTGTGTTCACTTTCTGTAAGCTCTGGCAAAAAGTTAATTTATCAATGTGTTCACTTTCTGTAAGCTCTGGCAGAAAGTTAGAGTTCATTTATCTATTGTGTTCACTTGCTGTAAGCTCTGGCAGAAAGTTAGAGTTCATTTATCCATAGTTTTCACTTGCTGTAAGCTCTGGCAGAAAGTTAGAGTTCATTTATCCATAGTTTTCACTTTCTGTAAGCTCTGGCAGAAAGTTAGAGTTCATTTATCCATAGTGTTCACTTTCTGTAAGCTCTGGCAGAAAGTTAGAGTTCATTTATCCATAGTGTTCACTTTCTGTAAGCTCTGGCAGAAAGTTAGAGTTCATTTATCCATAGTGTTCACTTTCTGTAAGCTCTGGCAGAAAGTTAGAGTTCATTTATCCATAGTGTTAACTTTCTGTAAGCTCTGGCAGAAAGTTAAGAGTTTATTTATCTATAGTGTTCACTTGCTGTAAGCTCTGGCAGAAAGTTAAAGTTCATTTATCTATTGTGTTCACTTGCTGTAAGCTCTGGCAGAAAGTTAGAGTTCATTTATCCATAGTGTTCACTTGCTGTAAGCTCTGGCAGAAAGTTAGAGTTCATTTATCTATTGTGTTCACTTGCTGTAAGCTCTGGCAGAAAGTTAGAGTTCATTTATCCATAGTGTTCCCTTGCTGTAAGCTCTGGCAGAAAGTTAGAGTTCATTTATCTATTGTGTTCACTTGCTGTAAGCTCTGGCAGAAAGTTAGAGTTCATTTATCTATTGTGTTCACTTGCTGTAAGCTCTGGCAGAAAGTTAGAGTTCATTTATCTATTGTGTTCACTTGCTGTAAGCACTGGCAGAAAGTTAGAGTTCATTTATCCATAGTGTTCACCGACAATTGAGAAGATTTTAGCCAACATGGCTCAGTCTCTCCCTGCAGAATAACTAGCTGCCTGCAGGCAGCATTGCACAAAGCACAAACTTAATAGCTCCAGTGACAATCGTCTAGAGATTTGCACAAAATTTGCTTTCATGAGCCAAACAAAACTGTCCATGTAACAAATTCAAAATTATCAGAACATAAGGGGTAAAAAGTAAGCCTTCCCTTTCTTTCTCCCACCCCTTTCCTTCCTCCCACCCCCTTTCCTTCCTCCCACCCCCTTTCCTTTCTGCCACTCCTTTCCTTCCTCCCATCCCTTTCCTTTCTCCCACCCCTTGCTTTCCTCCCACCCCTTGCTTTCCTCCCACCCCTTTCCTTTCTCCCACCCCCTTTCCTTTCTCCCACCCCTTACTTTTCTCCCATCGCTTTCCTTCCTCTCACCTCTTTCCTTCCTCCCACCCCTTTCCTTCCTCCCACCCCTTTCCTTCCTCCCATCCCTTTCTTTCTCCCACCCTCAATGGAGATTACATATGAAGCACTGTTTGTGACAGAAAAAGCTCTGGATGGAGGACATTATCTAACCTTTTGATAGACTCCACTGCGTCTTGTGGCAGCCAGTGCACCCAACTTTCAGCCAGGGCATCATACAACCAGGAGATGGAGTGCTCTCCGGTGATGTACGGTGGTGGAAAGCTGGGGACAGTGTCAAACTATGTCATTCTACTAGTGATTACTGGGCAACTTTGAAATATACTACCTTTTCTTTTCAGTCTCCTTTTTCTTCTTCCCCTGCTGTCGTGGAATGATAAGCCATTACACATCACCCTAACATAGTCGAGACCTGTCTTACCTGTGCTCGACACAACATTCAAACTTGGACTCGTCCGGAAATAAATATAGTCCCTTATATCGATATATGCCCTTATCGGACATAATTATAATATCTACATCTTCTAGTTGCTTTGACTTAGCGTCATTTTCAAATTTGCAACTATTGGATAAATATTACTGGAGTTATTTGAGGTTTCTTAGAAACCGATTTACTCCTTGCTCCTATATACAAGGAACTACTTCTTACCAACGCCTGAATTGAAATTTAGCGGTATTATTCTGCCGGCTTTCCTGGAACTCAGACGTGTCCATCGACGCTAGTACACCTGCATTAACTGGCTGTAAACTCCAGCGAAAGTTTTGATTGGCATCTGCATTCAGACTTTGAGCTTGTTCACAGACTTGACAGTTGTTTGCACATTCTTATTTTTTTTTTTTTTTAAATCTAGCTTATTGTGTTCTGACAGTGAATAAACAAACAATATTTTCAAAGGGTCACAAATTGGACATGCAGGCCCGCCTTACATTCGGCCCTTTCAATCACCCATCTTTCACACAGCAGTTCTATTTTATCACTAAAGCATCTTACGTTCATATAATAATATGCACCTTATGAACATTTTTTAAAAACTGACAATAGCACAGGTGGTAACATTCATGTGCTCACTCACATGTGTACATATACACACACACACACCCTCTCCCTTACACACGCATGCACGCACACACGCAGGCAGGCAGGCAGGCAGACAGACAGACAGACAGACATACATAAATATTCACACACATAAGGAAAACAATCGGACTAACAAACATAGATGTAGATGACCTAGAAATTAAAGGCGGTTGACATTTAGTTGACCACATCAAGTACTTAGTAAGACATTGAAAATGTTAATGTCTAAATCTACATGATATCTGAGGAGGACAAAGAGATAGGGAAATGACTAAACAAAATGAACAAGGAGAGGATGGGGAGGAGAAAGAAAGAGGAGGAGGTGGAGGAGAAGAAGAAGAATAAGATAACTAATTACATAAAAATGTTTAATAGCCAAAGTTCGTCATAAGCAATTATTTTTGAGTAAACTTTCTTCAATGTTCAGACTAATATTCAGTGTTGGTAATTTTTTTCTCTTCAAGATCCACAGTATTCTAAGAAAATTTATACCAAAGAAAGTATTTGATACAATTTTCAAAACACTTTATCACATCAGCAGGCATATCAGTTTGTTACCTATTGACAGGAGAGCTCTCATGGTTTCCTAAACTGGGATAAACTGGTTTGCCAGGGAAGTACTTGAGAATGAGGCTGACAGCATGATTGATGGTGTCGATCTGATCTTGTCGAGACTGGTTCCACACGTTGTGAGCAGGCACATCTCCAGTCCAGATAATGTAGTCAAACTTTGAGATGAAAGGTGAAAAGGAGAACATGATAAGAAGGTCCAGATAATGTAGTCAAACTTTGAGATGAAAGGTGAAAAGGAGAACATGATAAGAAGGTCCAGATAATGTAGTCAAACTTTGAGATGAAAGGTGAAAAGGAGAACATGATAAGAAGGTCCAGATAATGTAGTCAAACTCTGAGATGAAAGGTGAAAAGGAGAACATGATAAGAAGGTCCAGATAATGTAGTCAAACTTTGAGATGAAAGGTGAAAAGGAGAACATAATAAGAAGGTCCAGATAATGTAGACACACTTTGAGACAAAAAGTTATGTGGGGGGGGGGGGGGGGGTGGGGGAAGAGGGGGTCGTGGTTAAGAAATAATAGAGGAATTCTAGGTACAATATTTTTTGCTTACCCCAATGATATCATGGGACAGTCAAATAATTTTTCGGTTGATAAGATGAGGCTTTTCCCATTTTCTCTTCTTCTTTGGTGAGCTTTGCTTTGCCAAAAGGGGGTGCTTCTAACGACCAGTATTGTACACCAGCCAAGTGAGCATAAACAGATAGAAAAAAGCAACCATTTGCTTACTAACAGACAGAAATATGCCACACCATAAGACAAGAAGACCAAACAACAGCACACTTGCACCCCTGGTAATAGTAGACTGTCCAGTCAGCTGTGGATTTCCCCTAGATACCCTGTATTTAGGGTAAGTGGTAAGTAAATAATAAAGCACAAGAATTGTGTATGTGATTGAGAGAGAGAGAGAGAGAGAGAGAGAGAAAGAGAGAGGGAGAGAGAGAGAGGGAGAGGGGGGGGAGAGAGAGAGGGAGAGGGGGGGGAGAGAGATGAGATAGAGAAAATGTGTTGAGGGGGGGGGGGGGGGGGAACAAAACTGCGGGGTACACTCATTACGCCAAATGATGTAAAAAGCAGTCCTTTATTAATCATAATTCCATTTTCTATACTGGTAGCTGCCATGATGCAGTGGCTAAACACTTCCTTGTGGACCTGAAGGTTGTACATTCAAACCTGAACTGAGCCGAATTTTTTTCTTCTTCAAAACTGACCCTTGATTCCCCAGTCGACCCAGCCTTATATGGGTATCTGATAATTTCCTAGGAAGTAAAGGCGGCTGGGATAAGGTTGACCACATCAACTATCGAGTGCCAATCGGACTAAAAACATAGATGTAGATGTCCTAGAATCTAAAGGTGGTTGGCATTTAGTTGACCACATCACCCACTAAATGCCAATTGGTCTAAAAACTTAGATGTAGATGTCCTAGGAAGTAAAGGTGGCTGGCATATATTTGACCAATCACCCATCGAATGCCAACTGTTCTATAAAACATAGATGTAACACTATATGCCCATTAAAACCTGCAGGTGTGAAAAAGGGTCATTTACTTTACATTTTCTATGGTCCAGTACAAATAGATTGCTGGGGCTACAGCACTTGGGTGTTGACTGGTTTTGGACCCCCCCCCCCCCCCCCCCCCCCCCCCCCCCTCCCCCTTTTTCAAGGCAGGAGTTTTAATAAGAATTAATGCGTTTTATGGTTCAGGTTTAACCTAGCCTTTGAAAACTGGCACCAGAAAGTTTACTGAGAAGTATAAGTGGTCAGTTTGATACTGAAATCATTCACTGAGCACTGATGTGTTCAAAAATACAGCATGGCATTATCAATTTGCTTCATGGCAAGGGAAAAGGACTCTTACTGATCTCTATGCCAGATCGCATTCAATTCTGGGTCTTCCGGTGTGAGCTCCTGGGTCTCATTTGGGGGGGGGGGGGGAGGAGACAAAGAACAGACCCACTGCCTCACTATCAAGCATGTCATAAAAGGCAGCTAATTAGAAACTTTCCGCCTGAAGTCAAAGTACATCTATCTGAGAGGTGAGAAACCAACAGTCTGCATAAAAAAATAAGCAAGATCTGTCAAATGGATGTGCACACAAAAGTAAAGTTCTTAAAGGAGACTAAAGTCCAGAAATGGATAAAGAACCATAATTTTCTTCCAGAGTTTACAACCAGTGAATACAAACAGGAAGATAAAGAACAATACCAGGGGTAGGGTTCTTTCAAAAGATTAATGTTCTTCTCTGGCTAATGTTTGAGCCAGCTTATTACTCACCCGGTACCTGAAGATAGTAAAATTAGCTGCTAATCAATGCATACTTGTAATTAAAGAACAACAAATGAGATGGTTTGGTAACCTGATGAGAATGCCCTGGTTTCAACTGCCACAAAGGGCCACGCTGAAGAAATATAATGAACACAGAGCAAGAGATGGAGAGCAAGAGATGGAGCGACAACATCAGGAGCAACCTAACAGAAATGAACACCAACTTGTACAATGCATGGAAAAAGTGCACAAACGATCCTTACATCTCCCCCAATGCCCCCCTGAGGTAAATTATGGAAGAGAAGAAGAAGAAGCAGAAGAATCAATGCATGATGAGTTCCTTGGCAACAAAAAAAGTTAAAAACTGGCAACAACAAGTATTTTGAGATTTAAAGGCAGCTAGTGCAACACATTTTTAAAAAAAAGCATCCATGTTTAAAATGACAGAATGACATTTTGAATATCCCAAATGGTAACAGTAGATTTAATTTTCTTTTTAAATACAGAATTAAGTTGCATTCTGCAGAATTACACTGAATATTGAATGCTTAATAAAGAATCAACATCACAGGACTCAGGACACTCCCATAAGCGCTCCATCCCCATTTTCAGCAGCAAGCCAAAGTCTCAAATCCGATGGTACCAGTGACTGTCTGATTGTAGATCCATCTCGCCTTTCCCTTGAGTGTTAAGCATTGGCCATATCCCCTGACAAGAATTACATTGCATTCTTTATCTCTGTTATTTTTCTCTTTCAATCTGTGTGCCTATCTCTTTCTGTCACTCTCTACCTCTTTTTTTTACATTTATCCTACCTGTTGTGACACTATATTCCAGTATTTCCTCACCCATGTGCTGGTCAATGAATTTTAGAAGGTTTTTCCCTGATGCCCGTAGCAAGTTTCCTTTGTGTTGTGGCCTCTTTTGAACAAGTTCATTATCCCATAGTAATTTTAACATTTGTCTGGGAGACGTTATTTTTGCAGCTTCGATGGATTTTTTAAATTAACAATCAGGGGACAAAAGATGTGGAATAAGAAAACAAATATCGCAGACAACATAATCAGTGTATGTGTCTTTCTCTGTCTCCCTGATTTTGTGTGCACATGCCTGTTTGTGTATATGCTTTTCTGTCTCTCTATCTGTGTGTATGTTTGTGTGTTTCTAAGGGTGTATTTGTGTATATGCTTTTCTGTCTCTCTACCTGTGTGTATGTTTTGTGTGTTTCTATGGGTGTATTTGTGTATATGCTTTTCTGTCTCTCTACCTGTTTGTGTGTTTCTAAGGGTGTATGTGCGTATATGCTTTTCTGTCTCTCTACCTGTGTGTATGTGTGTTTGAGTATATGTATATCTATGTGTGTATATCCGTATGCATGTGTGTATGTGTCTATCTGCGGGTGTATGTCAGTGAGTCAGAGAATATATATCTATGTCTGTGCATGCAGATTGTGTGCTGTACGGTTTGTGTGTGTGGGCGTGCCTGTACATGCATCTACTTCCACATTTTCTTAAAAGAAACACCCCTATTTAGTTGCCGTGTATGTTAAACTCACGAGGAAGCAATGGGTCTATTACTTTTCCTCCGAAAGGGGGCCCCATACTCGGCATAAGGAGTGGCTCCTATCAAATTACATGCACCATAAAAGAAGCAGGAAACCAACAGTCTGCATACAAATAAACCAGATCCGTAAAATGGATGTGCAGACAGAAACAAGACTCAAGCCCAGAAGTAGATTAACAAGCAGAACTCAGTAATGTGCCCTGAGTGCCCTGACTTCAAATTCTTCTTCTCAAACTCCATGAGGTGTGGCATGGGCCTTTATATCTATCCAAAGTCTCACAGTCATATGTCATGTCCAATCATGTTGTGACACAGACTTAGGGAATATTCAAACAAAATACTGCAAGCTAAGGGAGGTGTATTTACCGTATGATTCTGAGCTATTGTAGCAAGCATATTCTCCAGGGTCCAGAGAGGAGTGTCACAGTTTCTGTAATCGCCAAAAGTCCAGGCTCCATCAGCTGGATCAGCTGTTTGTTTTTTGGGAAAAAGACACATAAAAACAACAACATGACACTCAGGATCACATGAGTTGCTTGTGATAGTTAGTCAGTCAGTAGACAGATCATCCTTCTTGCATATCAAACCATTTAGAACATAAGTATTCAGATCCCCTTAGTAAATCCAGCAGCGGGTAGGGGCTGATGACACCAATTCTGGGTTGGTTCCTCATTCGTCTTTAGCTTCCAGCATAGTTCTCTTGTCTGACCACACTCTTTTTTCCCCAAACCACACATAACGACTTGAGCACGCATACAAAAGTGTATCTGTTTACTAATCATTAATGGTCAGTCATGTTGATCATGTTTACAACTGCATCATATCACTGCCCCAAACCTTATATCTTACCAGAAATAACACAAAATGCCCTTCACTGTTCTATTTTAAAACTGGTGTAACATATCAGTTCCTGCATAAGAGGTAGACAGTTATACAAGTAGAATGACAACATCTTGCTTCACACACCCATCACTAATTCTGTTATGTTTTTAACATATTTCAAAGCGATGTTTTCGTGATTTTTCATAGCCAGTAACTCTCCTGTGAACATCTGTAAGGAGCCGTGGTAGTATAGACGTTAGATTTCCATCTGCTGGCCTGAAGGTCCTGGGTTTGAATCCACAAGAGTAAAAAAAAAAAAAAAACAACCTTTCCCATGCAAAAATCAGCCTAAAATAGGTACCAGAAATGTCCTGGAAAGTAAAGGCAGTCAGTGTGATGCTGACGACTTCACTAACCTAGGGCTGAATAGTTTATAAAAAATTAGAGTACTGCATGAGATCCCAGAACATCTGTAGTAAAACCTCCTAGAGCTGAAAGAGTTAACTCATCAATGAACAGATCTATATGAAGAGATCCTTAATATAAAATGAAGAAAATTTAAGACCCCCGCCCCCCTAAAGATTTAACATCTACAGCATTCATTACAAGTCAATATCAGCTCTGTTTCTCTCCTCGTCCAGCAAAGAGTCTCCAAAGTGATGGTACCCGCTGTCTTTCGTCTTGCCTTTTCCCATGAGCCTCCTGTGGAGCCCACAGCCCGCATACATTCCAAGCTGAATCATTCTCTTCAGATACAGGTTTCAGTATCTTCCATTCGACTTGTTACCGGTTCAGTTGGTTTATCCAACAGATCAACATCACGGCACAAGGGTAGTAACCTATAAGTGCCCTGTTCTACTACTAACTCAAGCCTGAGTCCTAAAAATTTCAGTGCAGTGCATGAACTCCGTAGCTCCGGCGAGGATCCTGTTATTGTAAAGTGCTGGTGAAGGTTTCCCCCCCTGAGAACATCCTGTTACCGGATAACCAGACAGCATTGCAACAGAGGAGACCCAGCCAGCATAATTTCAGACAAACATGGGAGGTAAGTAGAGCAGAACCATGACTATCAAAAGAATCACTCAATGAAATCATAACAAGATCTAGTACCACAATTATAACCAAATCTTCCTCAACACACAGGTGAGAGATCGTCTTTACCTTGTACAGTTGCAGCACACCCCCCACCCCACCTCCAAGTGGGGCCAGTCACCAGACTTTTGATACAAGGAAGAAACAGACTCCAACACAGACTTACCCAATGCACCCAGGCCTTCCCTACAGCACAGTGGTTCTCCACACTTAGCATTACTCCCAGGCTTGTAGTCACGGTCAAAGTGCAAGTCTGTCAAGTGTAGAACTCGTAGAGTGGGAGACCCTTGCTGCAAAGAAACCTTCAGTAAACTACTGCTGTACAGAGATTTGCGTGTGAGCTGGTGAAATACCTTATGTAATATTCTATATTGAGTTGAGTCAAAATTGACATCACAGCACTCAGGACATTCCCAGTACCGGTCATAGACTGGTTATTTGTCCGTTTTGCCTTTTCTCTGAGCACAGTGAACCGGCCAGACACTCTGGTCACACCCAGGTGTATCATTCTCTCCAGGCCATACAAAACACATTTTTGCTTCCAAATTCATTACTTGTTCTCAAAAGGCTTTGACCACATCTGCATTATCATGTATCCATTCATCACCCAGTGGGGCACATCCAGTCAACATCTGCCTGTGCATTCCCCATATAATTCTACCTGTGTATAGTAAACTTATCATGCCTGATTACTTCTATCAATGAAAAACTGTATTCCTGGAGGCAACTGTTGGCTTTGGCGCCTCTAGCAATTACCATATGCATTTACTGTGTGTGTGCATATTTCTGGATTGTTCCTGGATTAATTGTTTGTTCAGCAGTTTTTCAAATAGGACAGTGAGGGACATTTCATTTGATTTTCACTGGCACAGGAATGGAGCAAGTATGGGGAAACCCTGTTGCAGTGAGGGTGAAACCTCAGCTAAGACTAAGACACTTCATCGTCAACTTCATCAGACTTGCCAGCTGGCTTACACATTTATATCTCTTCACATATCTTGGCCCATCGTGTTCTACATCAGCTCTTTTGATAGTATACACCCAATGCTAGCATTTTAACTCTTTCTTCTGCTTCTTCTCCACGTTCACTGGCTTGTCCTGTTCCAGAAACTGAGTGTTGTGTGCACACCCTTTTTCCAGGTAGGATATCTGCATGCAGACTGTTGGCTCCTTGCCTCTCAGGCAGATGTACTTTGACTTCAAAGAGAGCTCCCATTTAGTCGACTCTTATGACATGCTTTTGGGCAAGCAGTGGGGCTGTTCTTGTTTTCCCCACAAGGGGACCCTGGAACCCACATGGGCAAGCAGTGGGACAGTTCTTGTTTTCCCCACAAGGGGACCCACATGGGGAGACAGTGGGTCTATACAGAAGGAACAATTTTACTAGACTAGATTATCATAACAGAAAAATAGGGCAAAAGAAAGTAAGGTATGTACGTATGCGATGTACAAAGTAATCATACACATACGATGCATTGCTTAGAGGTGAAAGAGTTAAACTGCTGTAGTCAGATGGACCGACCCAATCAAAACACGGGGGCAGGGAAGTGGGCCTAAACCTTGTTTAAACTCTTAATAATAATAATGATAATCTGCCAGCAGCTAGTGTGTACTACATACATGAGAACTGCAGGTTACAAGTCAAAGGGCAGACCAAGAAAGAGATGGGTGGAGGGAGTCAAAGAGACATGACAGAAACACAATGTAACATTAACACAAGCTATACAACTATCAAATGACAGGAAACAACATCTAACTCCTCTCAGAGTTTTAAAGCATAAACAGTAGGGTAAACAAGAGAAGAAGACCTAAACAGTCTTGGAAGACATTTTGCATTGATAAAGACACTGGACGGAACTTTGGTTGTATTTATGCATGATTTTTTCCTATGCACGTTTTTTCCCCTTTATCACCATGGGGGAGAAAACCAATCCAAACGGACAAAAAAGCAGAATTAACTGGGTTCACAATCTAAAGTCTTCACCAGCACTTGACAATAATGGATAATAATACAGTTACAAAAAAGAATATATAGCATCATTTAGTTCTACCATGAGGCCTGCTGTATAATCTCTGAGAAATTTTTCAGCTGAGCAAAGGACTCACAAACGGCTAAAAAAAAATGCCCGGGTTGGTTCTGCAACGTCATGCAAAGGATAAGCAGCTTGCTCTTCCTCTGAGTATAGCGAGTGGGCCAGAAAATCTGTCTTCTTCTTCTTCTTCTGCCCTTTTAACCCTCAATGGAGCATAGGCCATCACTTCAAGCAACTCACGCCAAATCACATGCAGCTCTCCCCACCTTCTAACTTCACTCTCCAGCTCCTTTCTTTATGTGTTTTAGTCGTCCTTTATTTCTATGCTCCTGTGGGTTCCAGTGCAAAGACATTCTAGTTATTCTGTTCTCAGGATTTCTCAACGCCTATACTATCTAACGTCAGCATATTTGCTTCACCTCTTAGTCGCCAGGAACTTGTTTGGCTCTCTCCCAAAGCCCTACAATGGTAGAGGAAGTTCATGCGTCTTTGATGGAGTAAAAAACTGTACAGGCATTAAAGAGTGCTATTAACTGTGTCAAGATATTCTTTTCTTGCTCTTACCTTAGGAGGGGTAGGTTGAACAGGTGGTGGTTGTGGAGTAGCCGGGAAGGTGACATTCCAGTCGTTGAGGGGATTGTAAGGTGTGCCACAGTCATCAAACATCCTCCCACACAGCTCTTCAGGGGTTATCACCAGCTCCTTCAGGACTGTCAGAACCTCGGGCTAGAAAAACAAAAGTTCAAAAAGAACATAATGAAGCAATGTTTTCAGGTCAACTACATTTCTTATATAATGTAGAAACTAAAACAATTACTAAAAAAATACAAACTTCCATTAAATGGTGCCTGCTTAAAATAGAGTGAATTAGGTTAAAGTTAGTTGCGTATGTTTAGTAGTTTGCCACTGGTTTTTGAGGAAATTAAGTAGTAATATAGAGTTTAAGGATAGAACTAAACAAATTGCAATGAATTAAGTGATGAGGAAAAGACAGTGGTGTTGGATAAGACACATGTTGGGGGGAAAAAAAACTAGAAACTATTTTCATTGGAGGTCAAAGGAATAATTGCAGACGACAACAACAATACAGAAAAGAAAAGAAAACTAACAGTGAAACAGGCGGGTGTTGGGAAGAAATATGGGGCGGACAGCATGCAAAAACAGCAGAGAGGACATGGTGCGTGTTGATTTAGGGCCTTTGCTCCAGTGGGGCAATTAGGGCCTATGCCCCGGTAGGGGATTTTAAAAAAAAGGGTGGGGAGGGTGCTATGGGAATAATGTGTTACTTTAACTCGCTCCATTCGACGACTTTATAACGTTAAGCATTATAATGTCGGCTTTAGAGAGTTAATTTTTAGCGGTGACCAAAAGTTTAAGATCGTCCAGTAGTTTATTAATAATGCAGTATCCTTGCAGAGTATTGCATCAAATGCCATTTTAGGGCAAATTATATCAGATCACCGTCTGCCTCGAGTGCTGGAGGTGCCGGGTTCAGGACCCCGGTGAAGGCTGGGATTTTTTCACGTGTACTTCTAGTAAGATCGGACGCCTGTATGTATTGATGCGCACGTATAAAAATCCCTTGGCAGTGTGAAATCGAAAAGATTAGCCTAACGGCGCTGCCCGGGCAAAATTTTGAGTTTAAAAAGCTACCTAAAGTATTATAGGAACCTCGCTGATGCTACGGAGTTCGTGCACTTTGCTGAGATTCTTCAGAAGCCAGAGTCAGAAGTAGAACAGAGCATATGTGTTACTACCTTGTGTCATTATGTTGGTTCGTTATTTAAACCTAATCCTCAAGTCTTTTGCCTCATAATTACAAAATAAACTGTATCTTGCTAGTTTTAGAACCGTTTGGTTGCTTCAAGTGTATTTTCTCTGAATTGTATTCTGGCAAGAACATGGACAAAAACACTTTGAGCCACCCAAAGAGCTTGAAATAGTAACACTTCGTGAAGGGCAAACAGAACGTGATATTTCTAATCGGACAGACTGTCGCATGACGTTGGTTCACAAAGCGATCATCACGTACCCGTTGGATAGTATTTTTTTTTAACCGAAAGAGAAAAGACAGATGAGAAGGTTACATTAGTGATCTTGTTTGGTTTGTCAAATTCACCATAGCGTGTTTCAAAAGTCGTGACACACTAACAATATCTCGAAAATTCATACACGAACCAACAGGAATCTGTGCATATGGCCCTAGATTTCCCATTTCCTTATGATTTTATAATTTATAATTGCAAACGTGTTCCTTTCTTAAAACGGTGAATTTCTCTGACCCTTGCTTGACTAATAATTTGTGTACCCTAAAAAAAAAAAAAAAAAAAATTAAAAAAATAATAAAAAAATATATATATATATATATATATATATATATATATATATATATATATATATATATATATATATATATATATATATATATATATATATATATATATATATATATATATATATATACAGTAACTGACAAACGCGTGTAGATAACTTACACCGAACGGTTGCCGAGTTTCAGATTTTTAAACTGGGCACGACGTTTGGGACGGACTATAGCGATTAAAAAATATATACTGCATACACATGTTTGAACTGGAAAAAAAAATGAATGAAAAGAAAAAGTACCAAAAAAAAAAAAGATCGCGGTTTGCTTGGATAAAAAAAATAAAAAAAAAATAAAGAAATAAAGAAAAGAAAAGAAAATAGAAATTACAGTTGTACTGAAAAAAATAAAAAAAAAAAAAAAAAAAATAGCGATTAAAAAATATAACTTCAGAGATAAAATTATTTAAACAGGCGTCATCGACCCCGTGAACTTTTAGACTTGACTCAAATTGAAGGAAGGAAAGGCGGCAGTTGCAGATGGTATCCAAGGAGAAGTTAAGGCCAATAAACACATCAACGGGATTGCTACACAACTTATTTAGTAAGGTCTCGGAGACCAAAGAAATACCAGCAGACTGGAGAGAAGGATGGCAATGACGCGTTATGTGATGCCCAGTCACCGAATGACCACCTCATTCTCAATCCCCCAGATCTCGCATTCACGCGTGACTCACCCAATTCTGTCTTTTCACCATATCGCCGTGAAACCCATGCTATCAGGAACTTACTCAATTCTGCAAGTCATACCCTGACGTTATCCCTATTTATATCATATAACATCTCTCCTCCCCTTAAACAAAACAAATATGCAATATTTATTTTTTCCTAACCCTATATAAACACTCATATAAGAATATATTGCCTTGCCTCACTCTTATTCCTTTAATGTTAGCTTTAAACTGAAATTCTACCATGAGTTTTCTGACTTCAACCACAGCTGTAGCATCTCTTGTTATTCCCCTTAACGGTTCTTGGCAGTATGTTAATGAATCATCTTTCTAAAGCGTTCCTCAAACAACGCTGACGACCATATAGGCTCTGTGACATACTTATCAAGTCCTGAAGTCAGTCTTCCTAACATGACTGAACAACACCTCAAAGCGTTCCTCAACAACGCGAAAGTCCAAAAATGGCTCAAAAACAAGACATAAGCCACACAGTTCCTGTTGACAGTTTCTTCGAATTGATTGCTGACTTCTTGGTATTTGTCATTTACCATGGTTTATAACAAAATCTTTGCCAGAATGTTCCCCATTTTAGCATTGTGATAACTTCATTCTATACGTTTGCAACATATACTAATTATTTACAATTTACAACTAAATGCCAAAGCATGACTGACTGACTGACTTTCTACCCCACAAGCGATAAACAAAGTGCCACCATGTGGGTGAGGATCGCCGTGGAGAGGTCCCAGAAACCGCGTTCAGGCAATTGGCGATATTTATGGGCTGCCTTTTTGCGGCACCTGGCAAAAGCCAGGGTAGGGCTTCCAATAATGAAGAGTAAAAATTGCATCCTAATAACAATGAAAATGGATATCAACTTTAACTAACATTTCAAATTCCCAGTTAATAAAATTTATGTTGCAACATTATGTGTCTGTTGTTTTATTATCAACTCTTATACACAATTTGCATCATCAGTTTCTCATCATCACATCATACAACGTTTACTTTCATTAAATATTAAATTGTTATTAACAACACGTTTATTGAACTTCTGTTAGTAGTGTTAACCTGTTAACAACAGTTATCTCCCTTTTCCCCCTTTGTGTCCCCTTTTGATTATTTCCCTTTGATTTTTTTTATAACCTGGACATAATAACTGGAAAGTGGTTATAAAACCCTTTAACATGCATGATGTCAAATTTAAACTGTTGTAATAATAATGCCCAACGGTAAACCCTAGCGTTTTTATTAGCATCTATGTTCTGCAGTTTCACTAATGCAAGATTATCTATAATAATCGTAAATTCTTTTCCGATTAGGAATTTCTGAAATATTTTATAAACTGATCACAATATTTGTTCGAAATTGTTATTTTTATCGGTTTTCCCTGATCCCAGTTTAATTTCGTTGGCTGCCTGTTTACTAATACTCCGAATAACTGACAAGGTAATGTTGCAAAATTTCTAACACATTTAATGCAATAACTAGCGATTACTGTTAACAATGTCATAATTAGCTTTAATAGCAACTGCACTATTAAATTTACTTGCACTTTATAGTTTGTTGATAGGCCAGCTGTATTTATTGAACATTTATCTGCTGGCAGATCAGCTGTATCAAAACATTGTTTTAGTGTTACATTTTTTTTTCTGCTTTTGGCACAATCTCTTTCTAGTGTTCTCATCATCTGCAGTTACTGGTATTTGTTCTTTATCCATATTTACTGAGTGCTCTTGCATTTGTTGCTTTTTTGTTGCACTTCTTGTGACTGCTACGACATTTTCTGTCTCATCCTGATTCAAATTCTCACTTTCAATTGTCCTCACTACATTTGTCTCTTGGCTATGCGTGGATATCATTAACTCTTCTGCCATCTCGGCTAGGTTTTCTTTCTCCCACTGTTTTATTTAATGATCTGTCATCTCCTTAAGCCCTGGTTTGTTACCAATGATAATTTCTGCACATGGCGAACTCAATATAGTCATGCCCATCTTCTTAGTCCTATCCTAAATTTTTATATTCCACCTCCGAATGTTCTACGTCTAACAACTCTATCAATCATGTCCTCTGGTTATATATAATATATATATATATATATATATATATATATATATATATATATATATATATATGACACTATTGTCTGTCTTTCACATGAACAAACATCCTATTCTTCTAGTATTACTACTTCTTTCTATAAGTGCCTATTAATACAATATCTGTTTGTTTAAATATATATATATATATATATATATATATATATATATATATATATATATATATATATATATATATATATATATAAAACACTATTGTCTGGAAAGACAGAAATGTGTCAACAGCCATTTATCCATAAAACCAGCCACATGTCCATCTACACCCAAAACCACCCATTTATTCACGCACCGACTCACAGAGATACACCCAGACGATATACCAACCGCCCCCCCCCCCCCCACTCTCTCTTTTTTTCTCTTCAACGTACCTTACTCACGTAACGGCTTGCCCCCTCTTCGTTTATTCATTTACTGACTCGACCAATGTATGTCTAACTATCTACTTATGTTTGTGTTTGTTTTTCTGATCTTCACACACACACACACACACACACGCGCGCGCGCACACACACACACACATACACACACACACTAGCCACATACACACTACCAT